TGTGTTGCATGGATGTTAGCCTCCCTCTCTCTCTCTCTCTCTCTCTCTCTCTCTCTCCACTGCCTCGAGATAATACCCCTCACTATCTTGTACTAATCCCCCTTACTTTCTTGTGAAAAGAAGTTTAGCCGATTAGAAACTCAACAAAACAATTTATTACTTTCCATAATCTTTATGTTGAATGTTGAAAAGGTTGTCACAGATTACAAATTCAACATCAACATTAATTAATAATCCTATACTGAAGATAATACATGTATAAAGTTGATTTTGAATAGAAACTGTAGAATGAAGTACGTACACACAGAGTATACTTTGGTATTAGGAGATTTAAATATTTTGACGTCTGTTGTAATGTAGTACCCTGTATACTTTTAAAGATGCATTATATTAGAGCTAAATCTGTCTGTTGCATGTCTTTACTTTGACCGTCTTCATTAGCCCAGTATAGGAGCAGAACAGTAGGACGTTAAACCCCATTTCATTTCATTTCATTTCTTTACTTTGGCATCAAATGCTATATAAACCATTGCTTTGATATTTATTAACACAACAACCCTATAATCAACTCTCTAGAAAATCGGATGGCAGAACTTTAAATGGAAGAGGAGAATGTCCGTGAGATTTTTAAGATAATTTAACAACAAAATGGATGATCATGAACTATTCTCGTTTGTCCAGTACAGTTGCTACAATAATAAACAATCTAGACTACATCTTCTAAGGCAAATCAGAATGAATTAATTTGAATGAAGTTTTGATTATATTCCTTTTTCTTAATCTATCTTTGAACTGGTATAGCGAGGGAGTCACGGTGACTGAGTGGGTAAGACGCTGCCTCGCTAGCTGGGAGGTGGCATGTTCGATCTCTGCATTGGCCCAGAAAGTTCATTGGGATTTTCTGGTGTGGTTTTCCCTTGTCAGTGGTGCAGCTGTCTAGTCGTTAAGATGGGATGAGAAACCAAGGACCCGTATATAGATTGGCATGCATGTAAAATATCCCTTGGCTGTTGGAATTCGATATAAGAGTAGGCCATAGTGCCTGGGCAAACTTTCCCTCATAGCACACTGCATGGCGTATGCCTGTCCTTATTAGTCCAGTCGGAGCAGAACAGTAGGACGTTCAACCCCATTTCATTTGATTTTTATAGTGAGAATGGCCTCATCTTTATTTAAATCTTACATATAATGCATCTTCAATAAGAGATTTAAACATGTTGTAGTTTGCTGTAATCCTGTTAATGCGTACATGTACATGAAATATTAATGCACACTGATTTGAACTGTTGGATATGATCAAGATAATGGATTATATTGAAGTCAACCAGTTCATCTCAGTACATGTATATAATGACCATTTCATATATATATATCTAATACATTCATATAAACCACTCGTATATGACAATAGTTTCAGGAGATTTGAGTCTTGACATTTACAATAAATCAATTTGACGTCAAAATGGCAGAAATTCTTGATAATTAAGCATCATCATGGCAGATCCCATAAACCTTCTTTTTGAGATATCAAAAGTTATTAAAATTTGCCTCATAGCCCTTATCTTGTTTCTAGGGTAGTTGTGGTGGCTTCGTGAATAAGGCACTGGCTCACTTACAAGAAGGTCCTTGGGTTGATTCTGATGTCACCCAAGAGAGTTCCTAAGGATTTTCTAGTTTGGTTTCCCCATGTCAGTCAGGCGCAGGATATGCAACGAAATGCACATGTACATCTGTCCTGGCAAAATTTCCCTCCTAGCACAGTCATTCATAATAATCATCGTAATATATAGCTCTAGTATTCACACTCAGAGACTACTCATGTCATTTACAATGTCTCCAAAAAGTACAATTTTGAACCCCATGACAGTGTCACAAGAAAAATAAGACATTAAACAGCCCGATTTTGTTCATTCATTTCGTTCTTCTAAATTGATAAGGAGGGTTGGTATAAATAACGCGTGAGATTGTAAGGTCTGTCATTGAGTCAACTGGAGTGGTTTCGATTCTCTGCTTGTACGTAACAAGGAGAAGGCTCACATGTCAAACCTCGTGGGTTTCTCCGGGTCCTCTGGTTTCTTCCCACTGTTCAAGACCCCTACACTCAAGCGATTTATTGAAATAAAATTGAAAAACATATTAGTCTGGAAATGACCTAGTTTGTGTCAATTATACATTAAACCCCATTTCTCTCTAAATTGACAGACTACCGTAGTTAAGCTTAGTTAGGTGTTTTTAGAGTTAGCCATGTTGACTATTGAATATAGCTGACGTTTGTATTATTGACTATTGTAATATACAGTACATGTAAAACTAATATAGAAGGGCTCGGCTCTATTGATTCTATCAGTTTATTGTACTCTTTAAGGGCTGTTATTGTAATGGAGAGTCGCCAACTTATTGTCGATATTTGATTTTAATAAATAACAAATTCTAATAATATGACGATCAGTAAAAAGAGACAATATATTGTGACCTTGACCTATATATGTATATGTCGTCTATTTACTGAGCGTCACATTAACATTCGTTATTTATGAAAATGAAAGGATTTGATCAACATGGTGGTTTTGATCGTATCGAATGATTTATGATATAAACATGTTAAATATTGATGATATAGATTAGAGATCTGTAATATGTCAGAGGGGAGTTGGATGGCCGAATGGTTTGCATGTGCGCGCTGTATCATAAGGTCTGTCATTGAGTCAACTGGTGGGGCTTTGATTCCCCCATTGTACGTGACGAGGAGTAGGGTCACCTGTCCAACCTCTTGGGTTTTCTCTGGGTCCACCGGTTTCCTCCCACTGCTTAAGACGCAAGCGAATTTTTGAAATAAAATTGAACCTAGTTTGTGTTGGGTGGACGTTAAACCCCATTTCTCTCTCTCTCTCTGTAATATACAGTTTATTTTATGAAAATTAAAGATGCATTAGGTTGATTTGGTCATTCTTTTTAAAAAAAAGTTTAAAAATCGATAATGGGGGGGGGGGTGGAGTCATTGTCTGAAGAGTTTAACACATGCGCGTTAGATCATCAGGTCTGTCATTGAGCCCTATGCGCAATTATTGAAATATAATTGAACTATTTGTTAGTCCCAAAATGACCTAATTTGTGTCAAGTGGGCGACGAGACATTGAACAGCATTTTCCTCTCTCTCTCTTTAAAAATTGATAATGAAAAATTAATATATTGAAAATTTCAGAAAAAATTACTTTATTCTAACCAAAGTTATGTATGTTTCAATCTGGTTAAAACACAGATCCTATTTCGTTTCCTTTTTAAGTCGGTCTTTTGACCCCTGACGTGACCTATCGCTATAACTTGTCAGATCTTCATGTAGTGTAGGCCATCGAAAGTATAAAAAAACGAAACGAAATATAGATCTGTATTTTAATCAGATTGTGTATGTTTTAACAAGAAATAGCGTAAATAGTCTAGATTGTCAAGTACCATTGCTACAATAATAAGCAAACGGTTAATGAAGATATGTCACACATTGTCTGATTGACTTAATATCTTGGAAATTCGAAGGTATAGAGAGTTGATTACGGGCTTGTCCATGTTCCTGAAGCAACAACTGCGAGTTCTACAACATCTAGATGTTGCTGCACTGCTTTGCAATTTCCAAACTTATATATAGCCTATGATATCTCCCTTTACTGCAGACATGTGAACAGTAGCATCCAATCAGAGGTTGTGACACACACTCAAACTAAACATAGCAACCTTGACACTGAAGAACCTTGCAACTCGATTATCACAGGTAGACATTTTAGCTGAAAAGCGCGAGACTTGGTATTCTCGGCGATCGTCTGTCAAGCTGGGTGAGTACCCAATCGAAATTAGTTAAAGGGAGATCAAGCCTTCTATTGAAGATGAGGTTTGTCATGCTTAAATGCATGAATAATAATTTGTACGACAATTGAAGTCAGAAAAGTGATCTGCAATGGATGGTGCACTGTATCGTAAGGTCTGTCATTGAGTCAACTGGCGTGGTTTTCGATATCCCGGTTGTATGTGTGACAAGGAGTAGGGGTAGGTTCGTCTGGCCAACCTTATCGAAGATTAGATAAAGAGCTTGCAGTTCTCACTATGATAATTAAACACTAGATAATGTAAATGTAATAGCCTCGATCATCATTACTAAAGTCGGTAGGATAAAAAAAACATACATGTAGTCTCGGTTATCCAGTTTGGATTTAATCATCAATGAGCTTTGAGCAGCAGATCAGATTCAAATCCAGTGAAAATCTGACACAGAAGATGCCATCAAGAGGTGATTATGGTCTAGATAAGTTAATTAATGTCTAATTAATAATTTATATAACATTTCTGGCCTAAAGAAAGGCATGTAAAAGACAGGTTTAGCTCTGGAATAATGTATGTTTAATGAGCGATAAAGACTAGAGAAGACTATTTGTAATATCGCTTATTAATAAACAGTAATTGTATTCCATAGACTTGTGACCTGTATCTTAGGGTTAGGGTTACTAAATGCCATCGAAACAATTTTCTTAATGTTATTAATTCGGCTGTGTAAAACATAGATATTGTTCCTTATAAGACATAGAAATAGATTATACTAAAATTAACATACTTATATGGATATACTACTTCTGAATTTTATTAACATACTACGTTTCAATAAATATACAGGTATCGTTAGCAAACAAATATCAAGATATACTACTTCTGAATTTGATTAACATGGTATGTTTCAATACATATACAGGTATGGATATATTACTTCTGAATTTTATTAACATGCTACATTTCTATACATATACGGGTATCGTTATCAAGACAATAACTTGATATTTGCAGCATAACGATACCTGTATATGTATTGAAACGTAGCAAGTTAATAAAATTCAGAAGTAGTATATCCATATAAGTGTGTTAATCATTAATATTGATGTTGTTATTATCTGTACATGTAAGAACTTGCAAACTAAACACAATGTCATAGAATAGAAAAATATTAAAGGCTTAAAACTTACAAAAAGATTCTGTGACCAATATGGATATCCTTGTCCACTGATCGACAATCCCTAAACTAACACTAGTTTATTGGATTTAAAGGTATTGATGTGACCGACTGACCATATAGAACAAGACATACAAGCTTATACACACCACTACTAAAAACCACACATTAAATCAATTTTATTGGCCCCATGCCAATATTTTATTTTCAATTCTTCTTTGAAGCTGTCTTTTCAATGAGTAGCTTTTATCACCCCAGACACTTTCATTTATATAGTCTTTTTGATCCAGTCCTTGTGTATTGTTTAAGATTGATCTTTCACGAAACAATAGACTGGATTAAAATACCATAGTGGACAAACATCCAGATCTTGTCATTTATTGGTCGATTTAATTGATATATATTTTTAGAATATTATTGATCTCCAATATCTGTGATAATCATTTTATTAGGTTATCACTTGAAAGCGAAAATTAGCGCCATCATAATAATTGTGATAAATGATAAATAGAGTTGTGGTATACAATTATTTATCACTTTTAAGGACATGTTCTGTAGAAAGTAGGGCATTTATAACAGACAATGTCAGGCAGAACTTGTCAGACGGAACTTGTTGGGCACAATACCCCCAGTTGTCTGTCATTTTGTCCAGCACACAACTAGCACAAAGTAATAAATGTCAGCAACTAGTTCATTAGTGATTGACAGTTTGTCAGGTTCAGCTAAATATATTTTTTACAGGCCCCTAGTTCACAAAGCATTCTCAAACTTAAGTTAAAAATTTACTCAAAATTGTTTGGCTTATTTTAACTAAAATATAGCTATTTATAAAACTTTTGTTGTTTTAATGTGTAAAATATATCAATAAGAAACTATGTGCAAAGTTTTGTGTTTCTGAGTTAAAGATATTTGTCATAAACAGTGATTGAAAGTTGAGAAAATTCTTAACCTAAGTCTGAGAATGCTTTGTGAACTCAGAGCCTTATGTATCCTTTCTAGTGTGCGCGTTGTATCATAAGGTATGTAATTGATTCCCCTGTTGTGCTCGACAAGGCGTAGTGTCGCCTTTCCAACCTAGTGGGTTTTCTCTGGGTCCCAGGGTTTCCTCCCACTGCTAAAGACCCATACACAAAATATGAAAATAAAAATGAACCATATGTTAGTCACAAAATAATCTAGAGTGTGTCGTGGATGTTAAACCCCATTTCTCTCTCTATCTCTGCGTAGGGTTGCCTGTCCAACCTCGTGGGTTATCTCTGGATCCTCTGGTTTCCTCCCCCTGCTAAAGACCCATACGCGCACGCAAATTATCGTTTAAACCCCATTTCATTTCAAGCAAATTATCGAAATAAAATTAAACCATATGTTAGTCCCGAAATTACTTAGTTTGTGTCGAGTGGGCGTTAAGCCACATTTCTCTCTCTCTCTCATTAAATATAATTTTTATATTACCTCCAAATTCTATGCAGGAGGCTCTTCTTTGACACCATTTTCTCCCTTTACCAGTTGCCATCTTGATTTCTGGTATTTTCTACAACAGTAAATATTTTATAAACATCCCTGAAGTTCAAAATGGAATAGGGCTTAAAATCTACCGGTAGTAGAAACTTTACCACATAAATTAATTGGTAATTGTAATGTCTGGGGAGAATTTTACCAAGACAGGGGGATCACAGTGGCTAAGTGGGTAAGGCGCTAGCTCGCTAGCCTGGAGGTCGGGTGTTCGATCCCTGCATTGGCCGAGAAAGTTCATCCAGATTTTCCGGCGTGGTTCCCCCTTGTCAGTGATGCAGGACGGAGGGCCTGACAAGGACAGCTGTCTAGTCCTTCGGATGAGACGAAAAACCGAGGTTCCGTGTATATATTGGAATGCACGTAAAAAAAAACCCTGGCAGTTGGAATTCGATATAAGAGTAGGCGATAGTACCACTTCCCTCATAGCACACTACCCGTCTTCATTAGTCCAGTATAGGAGCAGAACAGTAGGACGTTAAACCCCATTTCATTTCATTTCATTTTACCAAGACAGCAACATTCCTCCTGGGTTTACACTCAAGTTATGAAGCTATATTATTGTTTAAACAAACATTATGCAAGAGCTAAATCTGTCTATTGCAGGTCTTTCTTTAGGCCTGAAATGTTATCTAAATTATTAATTAGACATTAATTAACCTATCCAGATTATAATCAACTCCTGATGGCATCGGATTCTCGAGATTTTAACTAGATTAGAACAGTTCGCTATTTAAAAATTTAATTTAAAAATGGGAAAGCAAGGCTAAGTATCTAATAGTGCTCTGGTTACCACAATGCACATTGTCAAACTACAAACAGTGATAACTTGGCTCAGAATGAAGTAATTCGAATAAAATTTTCAATATTTTCATTTTACATTATTTATATTTTTGAGCTATTATATCAAGAATGGTCAGCTCTTTACCTAAATCTTACATAAACATAATGTATCTTTAATCTTGAGGGAGCCATGATGGTTCTGATTGGTATGTATGTTACAGAACCCCTTAACCTTGGGATTTGATGAAGAGTTGGTGTAATCGCCACTGTTCGACGAAATTTCCTTAATACTGCATGGTTTATGCCTGTTTTCATGAAACAGGTAAGCTAGCTTGAAATAAAAAACATGTGAACACTACGCTCCTGGCTTAAATTACTGGTGTTCTAAGGTTTCAATGTGTAAGTGGCTCAACCAACGGTCTAATAGAATCTGTGAACTCGCACCCAGCAGAATTTTGTGCAATCATAATTCTCTAAAACTTCAATCAGTTTTTGCATTATATAGTGAAGTTTATTCAAATTTACAACTGCTCTATGGTGGCCCATGGTCGCAATAGCGTTTTTGGGGTTATTTTTTGTATTTCATTTAAAATCATAAAAAATAAAAGTAAAAAAAAAGAAACATTTTTTTTTCTTTTGTTTTACAAAATAAAAAAAAAATCTTTTTAAAATTTAAGAAAAAAAAAAATCTTTTTAAAATAAAAAAAAATCTATATAAAAAAAATTAATAAAAATCTATAAAAAAAATAACATTTTAATTAAAAAAAAATAATAAGTGAAATAGAAAAAATCAAAAAAAGAATTCTGCACGTGGCCCATCGTCGTAATAGTGTCTTGATTATCCAGACTCAGTATAAAATCAGCCTATGACAGCTATTATTCGACTCGAGTGACCAGAAATACCTCGTGGCCCATTGTTGCTATAGTGTCTCGATTGTCCTATGTGGCATAACTCGAGTGACAAGAAACGAGTTTGTAGTTATCTCCCCTTCCGAAAGGAAAAAGGTAAACAGACATCAACACGTGAAACACAATTTTTCCACCCATGACGTCTATGGACTTGGATATATGTATTTATACATATGCAAGTCAATAGAAATGTATAATTAATAGACTATAGAAGCCTAGCGTCATTTAGACTAGTCTATCCAGTCTAACTAGAACTAGGCCTACATACATAATGACGTTTGAAGTCATTGACTTTAATGACACCATTCGGCCTACTAGTGCGCAAGGCTTATGTAATGTTTTTAAAACACTTGGTCTCCCTGAGGTCGAATTTCAAAAGTAGTTAACAACTTTGAAACTAATCCTCGAAGTATAGGCCTACTACTACTAAGTCGCTGGGGGGGGGGGGCGAATGGTTAGCACGTGCGCGCTGTATCATAAGGCCTGTCATATCATAAAGCCCGTCATTGAGTCAACTGGCGTGATTTCGAATCCCCGGTTGTACGTGACAAGGAGTAGGGTGACCTGTCAAACATCGTGGGTCTGTCGTTCAGATTATCCTGTGTGGGATCTATGAAGAACGTATGGTATAGACTCGAGCGACAAGAAATCAGTCTATAGTTACCTCACATCAAGGCACAAGTAATTTTAACTAAAATCTATTAAAATTAAATTTTAAGTTACAATCGATCTTCGTGAAACTCATAAATTTAAAATTTCACTTTGATTTTAAAATCTATGTTAGTGATTTTAGCTTCAGTTTTTGTAAAACCCCTGCTCTCCCTGAGGTCATCGCTAGTCCCCCGCTACGACCACAGGAACGAGTAAGAGGTGCGAAAGTGCGATGGCGGACAACATCAATTTCAAAGACAAAATAGAGCATGATAGCCTACGTGGACTTCGTCTGGGGCCTGTTTTACTAAGATAAAATTCAAATTTTAGTATTTGATTGGATAATAGATAATATTAGATTTATTTTAGTGCTTAGCTAATCAAAATTGAAGTATCTACAATTATGTTGACGTGAGATAACTACAGACTCGTTTCTTGTCGTTCGAGTTTATACGTTCTTCATAGATCCCACACATAATAATCGAGATACTACTGCAACAATGGGCCACAAAATGTTTCTGGTCGCTCTAGTCTAATGATAGCTGTATACTGGGTCTGGATACTCAAGACACTATTGCGACGATGGGCCACGTCGGGAATTATTTTTTATCGTTTCTTTTTCATTTAATTTTTTTTTTTTTTCATTTAATTTTTTTTTAATATTATTTCTTTTTTATTTTTTTTAAAATATATCTTATTATTTTTTTTTATATATATAGATTTTTTTTTTCATTTTAAAAAGATTTTTTTTTTTTTCATTTTCTAAAAAGATTTTTTTTTTTAAATTTTAAAAGATTATTTTTTTTTATTTTGTAAAACAAAAAAAAAAAAAAAATTCTTTTTTTTTACTAATATTTTTATTATTTTAAATGAAATACAAAAAAAATAACCAAAAAAACGCTATTGCGACCATGGGCCACCATACTGCTCTATTGGTGGGCCTTTTTCTGATATAACGATTATCTACCACTGATAATTTTTTTATTTTTTTTTATTTTTTTCTCTTAAATATTAAATATCAAATAATTAAAGGTGAATTTGGTATGATTAGATAAAGAGTTGACATTTCTTGCTATTATAGTTAAAAAATAGATAATGAAAAGAGAATATGCTCAAAATTGCAGTCAAAACTGCTTCACTCTGAACCAAGATATTAGCGATTCAATTTTAGACTAGCTTTGATCGCCATTCCTAATGTTAGTTAATGATAATAAACAAAGTCTCAATTATCCATTTTTACACAAATTTATCCATCACAAAATGTATTCAAATCCACTAAATATTGCAG